AAGAACGTATTTCAAAATAGAAATAATCTATATACATATGTAATGTATAATAATTGAAATGTGACTGTATTTTACAAAATACTAATCGACTAAAACACAACCAAGACAAGTTACTTTGTACAGACCAAAGGTGACTTTTATGTTATTCGATATGATAACATGAGTGCACGTGACCCATGTCGTTGTAACTTTTGTATTGTTAGCCAGGCATAGGTGAAAGGACAATATAATGAAAATAATAAATATATATAAATGTATAATGTTATGAGATTTAAGCTATTTTGTCAAACATTTATGTATTTGTGTTATAATTTGTTCTCATTCTAGAATGAAAGAGACATAATTTTTGTTTATTTCCTGGTAGTTGCGAGATTGGTCAAATTCACCGAACCCGTACAGAGATTGACTACTGAAAATTACAGATAAAATACGAAGTTTTTTCTTAAGAAATGTTTGATAACTATCCGGACATTATAAAGGTTTCGCATGTGAAATTTCAAACTTTACTGATTCATAAAAGTATTTTTAATCTTAAAATGAAAATTACTTTACATGATAGATAGGCTAGATGTGAAAAGAAGAAAAAGGCATGAGAGAAACATTGCTTTACAAAACCTTAAGATTTAATAAAAAAATATGATATCTTGTATATGAAAGCATTGTAATGTTTACTGATAAACTGCCCAATTTTGTTAACACTCACTTACTAATTTAAAAGTTGTAGCATGAAAACTACAACAAACACAAAATGGTTACGAGGTCAGTCCCATGGACCGAGCCCGGGTTGAAAGAGATGAACAGACACAATAACATGCTTACCTTGTTAGGTCTACATGACACATATGTATGTTCTTCAACAACACAAATGTTTGCTAGAATAAGGCAACACAAATAATGCCTGCAAAATAGACAACAGTAACACACTTAGTGTAAGTTGCCAATTATCGACAACATTTACAACCATTACCTTAACACCAACTACTTAAAAATATCAATACCAATATGAAATAGTGCTATATGCAGTGATAACAAATGATGAATACGCTCTCACGATTTCAGCTAAGTATAAGAAACAGTAGAAAGAATCGCCACCGTTGTCTGAGTAAGAAAGTCTACTATGGTAATTGTCCACTATTAAAACCTTGCTGAAATATGGGTGTGGAGATCTATGTTGAGACAGAAAACTTGATTAATGATGAACAATAGCGACTCGAGTAATGATATTCAACAGCCAAATCAGGAACCTATCTATCTAATGAGCACACTAGGAAAACACTGGATTTTTTTATGGCAAAAAGTGAAGCACAACAAAATTAAGGAGGTCGAACTAAATTTATGCTACTCTCAGATTTTTGCAAAATTCCTGTGCAATCCTACACTACAGTAGATATCACTTGAAATAATTTTATAGTGGAGTCATAATAGGGATTTGTAGCTTGAGCAAACTGCCAGCAGTAGATCTCCAGCCTTGTTTGCTACTTTTTTTTGTGATCGCTATTTGTAGATTTTAAATTCTCAATTTTTAATTATCTTGTATGTTGGCTTCTTTACTGTCTAGAGTAAGACACAACCCTACTAAGCACATACAAAAATTTTACCAGTAGAAAAGCAGCCTTTTCAAGTAAAACAAATATGTCTAAAACATTGCTTTAAATAAAGCTTCATGTCTTTTGAAGTAATTAGTTACTGAGCCAAGTGGCTTTGTGCCTGAGAGCTTGTGTAAACACATGTTGAGTAAAAAAACATCTACTCAGAACGACATCACATCTATTATTTATTTATAACCATGTAAATCAACTTTTAAATAGGTCAAGGACATTTGCAGGACTTCATATAGTATTTCTGTCTAGGTTTTGTTACAAAATACCCAGTGTGATGGATGTACTATCATATATATATATATATATATATTGATATCGATATTTGTTGAAGCTAAGTTTATATTTAGAAATGTAAATAATGTATACTTAAATCTGTATTGCAAAATTCCTGCCTATTCTCTAAAGTTGTAGAATATTCTGGAGTGTAAAAATCAACAATATATGTGTGTATGTAAACACTAGTGTAGCATCAGTATTGTTGTGTAAGCTGAAGTTTTGAGAAACTCTCCACACACCTATAAATATAACCAATGCACTGCACCAAAAAACAGTATCTATTATTGTTTTCCAATAGTTTGTATAATATAAACTTCGGAAGCTATAACTGTGATTGCTATAATGATTGTTAATCAGAAAACTTCAGATATTTGACCAGGAACATTTATAAATTTCGAACGTTACAAAACATTTAACTTCAGTGGATTCACATCGGACATTAGTTCTTTTATGAAAACATTACCTAACTTAATCATTGGGAAAAATTTGGCATGTGATCAGTGAAGACCACAGAGCTAGCTAGCTCTTTATTAAGTCAATTGTATTTACATCAACTGAAAATTAACTCGTTCAACTAGGAAATTGTAGACTAGAAAGAAGACTATATTGCTTGTAAGTTTGTAAAACTTTTATATATAAATCATTATTTGTAATAACTGTTATTGTAAATTGTATTATTGGTTGTATATTAAAATATATTTGTATTAATCCTATCGCCCTGGGTATTCTTTACTGCGCATGACACAAGGTTTTAGTCTTACCTTCAAACTTTTATTATACTACTTTTTGTTTATGTTATACCAATTAGAATAGCATAAAACCTTAGTTAATAATCCATATTTTAATAGTATACAAGTTTTAAGTTCTTAATTCTACAAGGGAATATTTAAAAAAAATCCTGAATTTCCACCATGAAAACACAAATCAAACAACATCTAGCAGTATAAGTACAAAAGTTAACTTTCAGTTTTGATGTTCACTGGATAACTAAGTTCCAAAACTTCCAAAAAATTACTTAGTTGATGTAGATATGCATTTTTGACCCATTCTGTGATATATATATATATATATATATTCATAGTTAATTTTCGTACATCATATACATGGCTTGACAATATCATAAAAAATATATACACTTGTTTGTTAAGTTAGCTAGTTAGTAACTGCTTGTGATTTTAATTGATATATGTTTATTCAATATATTAAAATGAAAAAATAAAATTTTTTAATGTTGATTGTGGATGGTATTCATTATGGTAGTAGTACTGACATACTCTACTTTATTCACTGCCATTTCACTTTTTTAATCTCAAGTTTTAATCATGTTTAAAACAAATTTGAAAAAATTTATGTAATATAAAGAATTGGATCATTATTTTCATTTTTTATCTACATAAAAAATATAATCATATGATGCATTCGGAAAGTATTTTGATTTAAATTTTGTTTGATCTGTTATTTATGAATTTCAACAGATTTTAAGAAACAATCTAGTTTATTTACTGAACCAGTAATTCCCAGCCTCTCCATTAAAAGAAGATTGAACAGTGCTAAAGAAGAACAGGAGCTAATTGATCAGTTAAGAAGAGTAAGTCATACTTGAATGGACGTGTTTAGTCTGATAACCTAAATCTTTAACAGAAAAGCTTATGAATAATTACATTAACATGTCCTATGAGAAAAAAACAGAAATTGTCTCATTAATGTTAAAAAGTGTCAAGCTATGACTGTGTGTGTATTTATACATACTTCTCTCTTAAAAGGCACACTTATCTAATGCTATGTTATCTCTATCATCTGGTCCAATATTAAGAAACTGTAAGAGATTTATTATCTGTTATTTGGTAAGCAACAGTAAGAGTTGTCACTGAGAAAGTACTAGTAATGAATGGTCATTAAAGACTCGTTATCTGGAGACGTTGATGAGGTTTCATATCTTGGAATGAACAAAGTCTACATTTTTAACTTTCATTTCAAAAAAAAAAATGGAAGTGCATCCAAACCAATTATGTATTTTAGTATTTATTTATTTTTTGGCATTAACTCCAACATTTTGTTTTATAAACATTTAGGATGTTATGAATATTGCACAATTTTAAGCTTAAAAGGGAAATAATTGTTGGTTTCATATTAAACATCATTAGAGAATGCTAAAGCTTAGAAACATTATTTTTGACTGTAACTTTCCTAATTTGTACCTAAGACCTACTAGAATCCTGCCCAAAGTGCTGAAGATATGAACTTGTTTAAAACATAATATAGTCACAATTTATGGAATGTTTACAGCCCTTACACAGCATAGTTTCACCATGTATTCACCTAGGAAGAATTAAAAATTAGTAAAAAAAACAGCATGGAACGTTATGTAAGTTTCTTTGAAAATAGGGTCTTTGACCTGATTTATTAAAGTAAACAAATCCAATCTTCACTTGTTATCTATAAAATATTTCTATGGTTTGTTTGAAAGAAAAACAGAGATTTAAAGTCTTAACTGTAAAAGCTTTTCTATTATACTGTCTTGGAAACAGTAAACAAGCTTCGAATTTCAAGTGTCAGAATAACTTTATCTGTGATATGTTAAATCCAAATGTTTTTGAGCATTAGGTAGAATAACTAAAATATGTAATGAAAAAGAACAATGTAATAATCATATTCCAACATTTACTACAATGTGTTTTTTCATTTAATATTGTAAGGAATTTTAGAGTGAATTTTTCTGTAATCTGTTGATTGTGGTTTTGAGGCATTAACTAGAATAATAATAAGAAAATTTTGTTTTCTTGTTACCTGTAATAACTGTTTTTGAAATCATAAACATTGTTGCTTTCCAATTGGAAACTACACATGTGCTCACTACATGAGTTTTATTTAATGTTGGTTTCTAAACATCTTTTTAATTATTTTTTTATGAAATACAATAGTTAATAGAAAATATACTGAAAGTAACCTTGCCCGATGATTTGGGAGGAGCTCTTCGAGATGGTATACTATTGTGCCAGCTGATGAACCAGCTTTATCCACACTCACTAGTCAGTATTCATGTGCCTTCTGCTTTGGTGGTAAGTAGTTTTTTGTTTGAAAACTTGTATAATACAATAGTTGGTAATCCTGGTGTTAGCTAATAGGTTAATAGATGTTTTTGTCTATTTTTCTTTCTTTCATCAGTATATTTATAACCCTAGATGGTTTCTTAGTGTTAATTTTTTCTTTTATGTTTTTATTCCATTTTTAAAAAAATTTGTGTATTAATTACTTAAGGTTAATGGTAAAAAATAAATAAAAATATTGTTGTAGTTACTTAAGGCTAGCAGCAAAAACATATTTTGTAACCGTGTTAACCCTCTTGCCCTGGGTGTCCTTTACTGTGCATTTTATCTCTATTTTATCCCCCCCCTCCCAAGAAACTATGAAATTAAATGTAAATTACTCACTATAAAATCGTCATTGCTTAGACAAACCATAATTTTTATAGCCTTCAATTTTGTTTGGTTACAGAGCTATCAAATAGAAAACCATACCCCTCTTGCCACACCCACTTGTTACATTCTCTTTTTCAGGATTTTTTAATAGTTCTCTCTTATGTTTAATTATATATTACCTATAACCAAAAGAAAGTCCAGGTTTTCACCTATCAAATGATATATTGTATAATGTTGTGTTCTGAACACAGAATAGTCAATTTCTCTTCGAATTTAACTTTGTGTCCCATGAGAATCACAATGGCTAGCTTGTAATGACTCTTGTCGCATAGTTAGAAAGCCAGGAAAACTGTGCTTTTTGCATGTTATTAGTCTGTTCTTTGGTGCATTATTTAATTAAATAAAAATTATTAAGTGCATTACTATCATTAGTATAAAAAATTAGGGTTAACTCTCTTCGATAATCGACAGCAAGAAAAAAGATTAGTTAAGTATTTTATTTCTTGTTTTTCATGTTTATTATTTATGTATAATTATAAATATAACTAAAATGTAAAAATAGGGATCATTTTAGGTTAGTTAAGATTAGATTAGGTAAAATAAATAATACTAATATTATAATAAAAATGATTCACGAGCCATGCATATGAACAGCTCGGAGTAGCTCATGGGTAATGTAATTTGATAGTGTAACATGAACTGCATGTTCCCCAAATGAGTTACAAATTATAATGCACAATAGTAGTAGGACATGGTTCAAAGGCCAATAAAACAATAAATTTTAATTACAAGTAGATGTATAATGTTACAAATTTAAAGCTACTTAGGATAAACGAATGTCGTTTCATGCTTTATTTGAAGTTATTATAGAAAGAAAAGGAGGGTAATTTAGATTTATTTACATTTGTGGGAGGTTATGAAGTCAGTCAGATTGACCTTGTATAGAGTTAAGGTAGAGAAAATAACAGATAAAATATTAAGTTTTACTGAAAACAAACATTTGAAATGTATTTAGGAGGTTTTAGACATTACACAAATAACATTTTGGGATTTTTGAAATGAAGAAAAAATATTTTTAATCATAACATGAAAAATCACTTTGCACATGGATTATTCAAAACAAATACTCAATATATTGATGAACATCTCTATATTTTAGTTATTAAAAATACCTCACTAAAAATATGATTTTATGTATGTGAAAGACTTATAATGTTAACTGAAA